GAGTAAAATGCCCCAGGAAGCATCCTTCACAGGGACCCAGGAACCATGTCCTCTCTGCCAAGGAGAAACACACCAGAAGTGAGAATGGATTCCCCTTAGGAGACTACATGTGCCTTCTAGAGTGGATGGCCCCAAACTGGCATCCTCCACACCCTGGACCATGGGAAGGGCTTCCATCTGACCCACATGTCTGACTTCAAAACGGGCTCAACTTCATCACATCAGATGATCTTAGGAGACTCCATCTCTGACACAGGTAAGCAAATTGACTCTAATAGATACTAGAGCCACATCCTCTGATCTTCCTAAGTTTCGGAGACCTGTTTCCCGTTATCTCCATCTTTGGAGTAAAAGGTAAAGACATCCCTCCCACCCCTGTGTATTCTGCAGCTCCCAGCTCTCTGGTTAATAAAGTTCCTTTGCTCACCCTTTTAACACTTTCCAATTACCACCCCCCACACCCCCCAAACTAGAAAAGACCTTATGGCTTCCTTTCTGACTTCTGGAGAAAGCTACAACTTTTTCCTTTCCGTAATATGCTGGGAGCTTTCAAACTAGAAACCTTCTCTCTTGCTTCCCCTAAAAGTATCTTCTACTTCTCTGTTTGCGTGTCCATATCCTGCATAGGGAATGTCTCAGCACCAAAACATGTGAGGCTCTAATTGGCTTTGAAAAGTGAGCTCTTAAATAGTTAGCTACTGCTGTATAACCTGTGCTCCTATTCAAATGATTGTTTCAGACCATGTTTCCCAAAACAAAATTCTAAATTCAGTCCTTCTAACCTCAAATTAGCTTTTAATAACCAAAATTCCAAGAAGAACTTGTTATCTATTAGTTTATTAGTACAGAATACATTGTCAAATATAAAATGTTTAATTTTCTTTTTTTTGCAGTTTTGGCTGGGGCTAGGTTTGAACCCACCACCTCCAGTATTATGGGCCGGCACCCTACTCCTTGAGCCACTGGCGCCACCCAATGTTTAACTTTCTTTAAATTATATTATAAATACCTGCTCCAAAGACTGAAATACCTAAAGTTGTAATGGGCCTTGATATATATTATCAATAATTATACGCTAATGTGTACTAGATAACCAAATCTCCTTTTTATCTATAATCATGACCACTGTAAGATCTTTCCCATCCAA